CACTGCTGTTCTTTCTGCCTTGAACATTTTCCCCTCAGATCTGCTCATGACTGGATTCTTCTCATCACTCAGGGTTCAGCTCTAGTGTTACAGTCTCTTAAAGGCCTCTGCTACCCTCTTGTATGAGGGCTGCCTTTTCTGTTGTCTGTTTTACATCCTCTCTTTAGGTCTCCACTGATCTTACGACTCTCCCATTTACTCTGTGGCTTGCTCACCCACTGTTTCATCATGCTAGAATGTAAGCTCTTAGAAAGGAGGCCTTGATGAATGATTTTGTGTTGTGATCCACTGTAGCATAGAAGGGTGCCGGGAAGTAGGTGCTATTTATGGAAAGAATGAATGAACCTGGCTCAGGAGGGATATTACCTAATGATGTCTTTTACTTAGCAACACCTATGTTTTATTTATTTTTTCTCCACACCCCATAAGTCATGCAAGGAAGGGCATGAACTGTCCTCCTGGGAAACGAAAGCACCTTCTGCTAATGAACGAGTTCAAGAACAATGCCATCTCCTCTTGTGCTCTTCGGGCCGGGGAAATTGCTCCATTTGGGGGTTGTTTGACATATGGCTGTGCCTAAAGTGTCAAGGGGAGAGAAAGAGAAGGGCTGAAGAGCACATGGAAGGCACTGGTGCAGTGCTGCGACAGGTCAGCAATTATGTCTGTTAAACCTTGTTGTATTTACCAACTCAGAATTTTGCAAAGAAAGCCAGCAGCTTAGGATACCTTTACAGGCTGGCAGGCATTGCTGGCTATGAAATCAGTACTGCTGCCTCCCCTTCCTCCTTACCCATCAAACTACCTTCAGAAGTTGATAATTCTGGATAATTGCTTTCTAAGTGTCCTATAACACTGGAGGAAGGCATGTGGTTCCCAAATGGGCAGAGGACACAGGAGGGGAAGTTTGCCAGAGAGTATGTACTTTTTTGTACTACTTGGGATCCCTGGGCCTTGTGCATGTTAAGCAAGCCCTCTACCACTCAGCTAAAACCCAAGCTCTGCCAAGGTCTTAAAAATTTTACTTGTTTACTGTTAGCTTACATTTTATATAGAGGGGTATTTTATTGTTACATTTCCATGCATGTTTATAATACATTCTGAATAATTTCACCCTCTCTATCATTTTTCTTTCTCCTTTCCCATAAGATTTTTGTTTTTTTTTTTGTCGGTCATGGGGCTTGAACTCTGGGCCTGGGTGCTGTCCCTCAGCTCTTCAGTTCACTAGTGCTCTACCACTTAGTCACAGTGTCACTTCTGGTTTTCTGGTGTTTAATTGGAGATAAGAGTCTCACAGACTTTCCTGACCAGGCTGGCTTCAAACTGAGACCCTCAGATCTCAGCCTCCTGAGTAGCTAAGAATACAGGCATGAGCCACTGGTGCCTGACTTCCCAAAACATTTTTTTTTTGCCAGTCTTGGGGCTTGAACTCAGGGCCCAGGCACTGTCCCTGAGTTTCTTTTGCTCAAGGCTAGCATTCTGCCACTTGAGCCACAGCGCCGCTTCTGTTTTTTTTTCTGTGTATGTGGTACTGAGGAATTGAACCCAGGGCTTCATGCATGCTAGGCAAGCACTCTACCGCTAAGCCACCTTCCCAGACAATGAGTTTATTTTTTTAACTTTTTGTATTGGTACCAGGGTTTAAACTCAGGGCTGGGGCACTATCCCTTAACTTCTTTGTGCAAGGCTACCACTCTTCCACTTGTGCAGTACTTATACTTGAGCTCCACTTACAGATAGTAAGATAATCCCAGGTCTTTACAAAGGTAGTACAAGGCTGATATCATCCAGGAGCCCAGGAACCATGGTCTGATCTTATTACACATGATACTGCAATGTATGTGGGGGCTTGCGGAAAGGAGGGACAGGAAAACAATGAGTGTTAAATAGTCTTGAACTTGGGATGGAACAGCGGAGCCAGTGGGCACCCAATTAGGCTCTGCTGTGGAATCTCCATCTCAGCACATCGGAACAGTCTCTTCATTTCTCCCATCAGAATGCAGGGGTTTTGTGGTCTGGGCTGAAGCTACAAACCAATAAGACCTCCCAGTTCAAATCTGGAGGCAATATAGGGGAAAGGCCGACAGAACACTGGAACACTAGCACTCCCTTGATCATGCATAAGTGAGCAGGGCAGAAAGGTTTGGATCAAGCACCAGGAGCAGTGGGTCTTCAAGGAAGAGCCTCTGCAGCCCAGGCCTGGGAGGTCCATGGACAGGGAGGATGCTGGGAACATTCATCTACTATCTGTCATTCCTGGGAAGCCTATGTTGTGCTTGGCAACAGCACCCATCTCCTTGACAAGAAGAGGCGAACTCCAACAATGCCAGCTTTGTTATCCCCCAAAGAAATCCTCCTCAATAGCCTGGCCCTTTCCCAATGACTCGGCATTTCCTCCAGACCAACAATACTCACTAAAACTCACTAGCCAAGATGGCAAAGGATGATAGTCTTCAACGATCTGTTGGCAGAACAGGATGTATATGAATCAACAGTTCGGGAAGGAAGAAATGGAGCTGGGTGAGAGTCATGCGCAGGCAGGATGAGTATATGATGGAGTCCACCTGAAACTTGTTTTTTTTTAACTTCAGCTGGCTTATTCCAGGCATGCGGGGTTTCCACTTGAGGGCCATCCTCTAGGGGGGTTTCATGATCCTCTTGGTCTGGTTCTGGTGACGTCAGTAAAATGCTATCTCAGAATGACAGAGACTCTGCGAGCAAAGTGTATTTGTTTAGGGTCTATCAGATTCAGCACTGCCTCCATACTGGAAAGGAAATATGGTCCTACTGGATTTAATGTGCTCCTTCAGGAGAGAGCGAGGGGAGGGAAGGGAGTGGTTAGCAAAGGTAATCTTGCAGCTTCCTGTGTCACTTGAGCATGGAACCTGGTCCAGGTGCTCTTCCTGACCAAGACTCCTATGGCCTAGGCCGGGCTTAACTCCATGAGGGAGTGGTCTGTTCTTAGTCCAGGCTCAGTGCTGGACTTGCTCTGGGCATGCCCCAAGGAAGAGGGGCAAGGAGGTCTGGCACCACAGCCCTAGTGGGCATCTTGTCCACAGTGGTTGCCATGGGGGGCAGAGGCACTGCGAGGCACTGAATCTAGCACAGTCTGTAACTGTAAGTAAACATTGTGCAATGTAAGCCAGGAGTAGTGTTGTATGTTTTGCGTGACCTTGAATCATGCACTGCTTTCCCCGGGTAGACGTGCATCTGCCTATTTGACCGTATCTGCCTACCGCTCCACCCAGTGAGAAAGAGAAAAAGATCCCCATGCCTTATGCTCTTTCTAGACATACAGCACTTCCAGTTCTGAGCTGCTCTGGGATGTTGTAAGGCCCTGGCTTGCTTCTCCACAGCAAACGCCACAATTGTTCTCCCCATTCTTGTCTCTTACTTTCTCCTCTGCCAGCCTCCCATTCTACCCATTTCATGTATTTTTAATTCAAGGTTACAGTAACTTGATCTGCCCCCCCCTCCCGCCCCCAGTCTTGATCATTACTTTTTTGTCCTTAGCCACAGTCATAGTATCTGGAACATAGACTTGAAAATGTCTGTTTTATGAGTTGAGGAATTTCGTGTATCTGCTGCAATTTGGGCTCAGTGGTTTTCTGAGAATTTCCTTAACATGGTAAGGGCTTTGGTGTAGCAGATGTTGCCATCTTGAGGCAGTGGGATTTAGGTGAGAGGAGGGTGGTTACTTCTAGTTGGTTGGACAGATTTCAATGACACGTGGTTTTCTTGTTCTGTCCATCAGCTTTGTTCTCCTCCAAGCTTTTATTAACAGAACTAAATTCTACCCTCCACCACCTAGTCAGTTCGCTGCTCTTCCTTGTGGCCCATTTGTATGTGACTTTACAAGTCATTTTTCCAGTACAAATAAAACAAGTCATTTGGAGTAATAGCATTTGTCATGAATTTAGAAGCCCATCAATGTTTGAAACAATCATATAAACTGCGTGTGGCGGTAATCCCAGTCACTCAGAACCGAGGCAGGACTGAATGAGCCCAGGTGTTTGGGGCCAGGCTGGGCTGCCCAGGTATATCCCAAACAAAGCCCAATTATAACTGATCAGTGAATTCTTTTCGGATCTGGTCCTACTATTAAATTCTCTAGCTGTATGTATGTTGCAAAGGCAACTCATTAGTTTGTCATGCAATGGTTTTCAAATTATTTGTTGTTAACTCTTCCCTTAGAATTCAAGATTATGAGGCCAAGGACCATTCCTGTAAACTTTATTATCCATCTCTCCACCACTCAGCACATTAAGACCAAAAAAAGTTGTCTTAATTCAACTATTAGTGGAGTTAGTGATGACATGTCAAGGCACAGGTTGCTCAGCTTAACGTGGTTTTTATTTTGTTATGCTGGGGTTTTATTGAATTCAGGACTGAACCCAAGGCATAGTACATGGTAGTCAAGTGCTCTACTACTCAAGCCATGGCCCCCTACCTTTTTCAATTTTAATTTTTTTGATGCTGGACCTTGGGCTTGAACTCAGGACCTAGGAGCTGTCCCTGAGCTCTTTTGGCTCTTTGTGTGTGGTTACTTGGAGTCTCACAGACTGTCCAGGCTGGCTTTGAACCATAACCCTCTTATCTCAGCCTCCTGAGTAGGTAGGATTACAGGCCTGGGCCACTGGCACCCAGTTGCATTTATTTTTTGGTTGGTCATGGGGCTTGAACTTAGGGCCTAGCTGCTGTCCTTGAGCTCTTTCACTCAAGGCCAGCAGTCTACCACTGTGAGCTCATGGATTTCCCAGCCTAGGCTGGCTTCTAACCACGATCCTCGGATCTCAGCCTCCTGAGTAGCTGCGATTACAGGCTAAATTATGTTGATAGCACTTGAATGTAGGAGTAAATACCCCTTGTGTACAGCTTATCTTATGCTACTGCCAAGACTAAGTGCCCTTCAATCAAATAAGAAATTGGAATTAACTGAACTTTCTGAGAATTCCTTTCCTGAACTTGGCTTATGAGAGGAAGAATGAGCACCGGACATGAAATTAATTTATAAATCATTTATTTACAGATTTTTATCTTAAAGTACATTTTAGTTAACAAATCTATTTACACAGGTGTACATGGGAATTCATCCCAGTTATTTTACAGCTCATACTTACAAACCACACCCTTAGTCTCCTGTGCAGAGCTGCACTGGATGTGACTATTGGCTGGAAATGGCCTGCCGGCCAGGCTATTTACACATACACAGTAAACGGGTTTATTTTTCATGTCTGCACAGTACAGTACACACGAGGAGGCTGAGCCCCCCAGGTAATGCTTTGCAATGTGTTTACCAAGAAGGCTTTGCAAAGTCCAGAAGGAAAAGCTATTAAATATAGGTTAATTAAAATGACAGTACCTCCTTTACATCAGTTTACATTTTTCTTCACATTTTTTAAAATACAAAGATATTTTATTGAATTGCTGCACAACCAGTTTAAGATGATTTGTAAACATGTAAATTCCTACAATTTGCATTAAACATCATTGTAGTTTCTACCACTTGCTCTTTGAATTAATGTTTTATTCACTAGTATTCTTAAGGTAGTAAAAGGAAGATGTAAGTTTGAATTTCTTGCAGAAAAGTTATGAGTCTCTAATGCTGTGCTACAGAAATTCTTTTGCGAGTACACACTTTATTCAAGTATTGCAAAAAGCTAAGGCCACTTTTTTTCAAGACAAGAAAGTGAACAAAATTGTTTTTATCAATAGGCCACAACACTCTTTATGAGCAATAAAATCTCTTGAAAGATAATTTCTCAGAGACCTGTAGTCACAGAAGGAATTTTCTTTTCTTTTAGGTAAAAGAAAAACAAATTACCTTCCTTATTAACTACTTTTGAGCTCTTCCCACTTTTCCCTACAGTAAAAATTCCTGTTTAGACCTGAAAAGGGAATCTATACCCTGTACTTATTTAACCCAGAGTTAACTGCCCTGGATAGCACAAATTATTTTGGACTCAGAAGTAAATCTGAAGCCTACAAGTTGGTTTACGACTAAATTCTGATAGTGCTATTCTAAAAGATATTACTGCTGATGTAAAGATCTTTTTTCTTAGAGGATTATGAAGAAAGACTGAAAGAGGATGGGTTTAGGGAAAAAAGGGAGTAAAGATTAGAAAGAGGGAATATTTAGGTTCTTGGTTAAGAGGCAGAGTTTGATTCAAAAGATCCCAATAGGGAATGAGTGGTTAGGTTTCAGTATTTATCATTCCTACTCCTCACTAGAAATCCATCTCAATTAGATCCAAATACTTAAAATATTAAGAAACCTGTTAGATACAATACCGGTTTTTGTTTTTGTTTTCACTACCAAACTATGGATAACAATTTCTGGTGAAGAATAAAATTAATCCATTCCTGCCTCTCAATGGAACCCAGGATGCTCGAATGATAAAGACAGCTGTAACAGGCTAGGATTGCTGCCACCACATTTCTGGCAGCAAGTCTTCCCAGATTGCTGATTCCACACCTATCAGTATATTTTCCTTTTCTGGAATCATAATGTTATATAAACAGTAAAGATAAACTATCTTATTAAAAACTGATTTTAGTTCCAAACAATGAAGATGTAGAAAAACAACCTATATTCCTATTATACTATTTTGATATTCATTTATAAAAAATTTATAGCAGCTGTAAAGTTTCAGAATCATAAGGACAATGTGATCTTACAAACAGCCAAAGGATGTAGACAACATATTTTCTGTCTTTCAAATATGAACTGAAAAGAAACATCTTTGCTTTTCCTTGGCCACATGAAAAGAATATTTCCACACTACTAGTTAATAACCCCAAGAAACCTTTGCTTCTTCTAGTCAACCTGCTCATTATGGCTACAAGACTATAGCTTCAACATCAATGGCTCGGAAGAGATGCTGGTAACACATCAATCTGAGCATTTCCCGAGACCCAATCACAACATTTCAGTGCTTTCCTTATTTGTCAAGAGCTATTCACACCAGTCATTGTGCAAAATGCAAATAGTCCAATGATTATTTCAGTAAGTTTCTTATAATGACAGGATGAAGCTGAAAAGAATGGAAGTGTGCATAGTGAGACATTTCAGACGCAAAGGCAAGTTTGGAAGGAAGATGCAGAAATGGACAAATGTGCACAATTAAAGATTTTACCATCTTTGGGGTTTTTCTAACATATTTTGAAGCTATAACATTCCAGAACATTTATGAATCCAGTGGATGTTTTATATCATGCTTCTAATCAAGACCTTCAAGATTAAGGCATTTACATTCACGCCTAAGATTATCCACATTCTTCTGGATTACTTGAAGAGGGACTGGACTGGGAGGAGAAGCCAGTCAGGAAGGCAGGTACTGAGGTCCACGAGCGCATCTGCTGTGCTCTAATGTAGCAGCTGGAGTCTAAAGATTTTTTTCAGATACAGGTAAGAGTTGTGAGAAGCAATGCTGCAGAGAGGCGGGAGTACACTTTATCGTGTCTTTCTATCATTTCCTCCTGCTTTTGCGACTGCAGGTCATGCTGGAAACTCATGTTCTTTCACTCACTGAATTGAACTGACTTCTTTGATGTGTATGGGTTGGTTAAAACCACTGTTTTCCTGTGCAAAGACTAGGAACCATAAAAGCTTCAAGACGGAGGTTTAACTATTACAAGAACTTTTCACTTCTGAACAGGGACACACATTTTCAATTTAATAATTTACCCGAAAATAAATTAAAAAATGTTCCAAGCACAAAACAAGCACACAAACTCTAGACAATGTCTTTTTTGTCTTTGGTGCACACACTCATTTCCTAAATCATTCAAGTAACAGCATCTCTGACTTCTTGGGGAGAAATGGGAGTTGAAGGTTTGAAGGCCAAAATGAATGATTTCCACTTTTGCCATGCCTGGATGCCTGAGATGGTCCTGAGTATCTGTGATTCTGAGAGCAGCTGGTAGAGGTTCAGGACGAGTAAGAAAAGAGCAGGGGTGAGAATGGGGAGAGGAGGCAGCCCTGCAGCAGTCCTGGAGCCTAAACCTCGGTGGGGGCATTCTCTGATCTCATGCCCAGAGAGAAAACTGAACACAATGCTAAGAGTCACAGTTCTTTACATTCTGCTCAGAAACAAGGCTACTTGATAGCCCATTTGGTGCTGCTTAACTGTAATAATAAAGAAAATGGGCTTCCAAAAGAAATGAGCTAAACTCTGGAACAGGAAATAGGCAGATAAATCTTGAATTTGCCTAGTTTAGAAGTAGTTAGGGTTTAATACTGTTTAGAGACTATACTATCCATTTATGACTTTTGTGGTAGAGACCATGAATACATTTCAAACAGTTAATGATGAATTTATCGGTATACCCTCTCCTGACTTCATACTCGAGGAAATAATACCCTTGTCTATGCTCAAAGGTAAGTCTGGTAATCCCAGCCCTCACCTGAGATCTAGTAGCATGGTAACATGAGGTTTAGGATGAACATCAGGAGTGTTACCCTGCCCACTGAGAACACCCAACAAATCCAGTGGTCACTCTGTAAAGACAAGGCTGAAATACTGCATTGTCCCATGAATTCCACACAAGCAGTCCATAAGAACAGGTACAAAGTCCAGAAGTACTCTTGCTATCATGGAGATGGGGTGTGTATCAGAAGGCAGAAAGGCCCAGGACTCATATTAGCACTCAGTGTTCGGTTTATTTGCAAGATGTCACACAAGTAGCATTCTCCCCTGTTTTTCACTGATCTGATTCAGAGTATCAATAGTGTCTTTGATCAAGTTCTCAAAGAGCCCATCAGCCAGCTGCATCTTCACACACAACTCGTCCTCATCATAGTTCACCCACTGTGCCTCCTCCTCATGGAGCTCCTGTACCTAGGATTTAGAAGGCAAGAAGGTTAGACAATGCTCTCACACAAGAGCTAGAAAATTAATTCAAATTTGCTGACTTTGTAGTCCTACCATGGGATATGGCCCAAGAAGGAAAGTCTTTTAAAGTTGCAAAGTGTTTGGATTTTACTTTTTACTTTTTTAGTTTTACTATAAGAAAGCTCAAAAAAGAAAAGGAAAAAAAAAGAAAAGAAAAAAGTTCAAAGTCTGGGCTGGAGGTGAGGCTCAGCAGTATGGTGCCAGGCTAGTAAGTAAAAAGGTCTTGTGCTCATAGTTCAAAACCTCCTTGCTTCAATAACAGAAAACTCATTCTCTGCATATCTTCCTCTATTTTCTTTGTCTTGTCTTTAGAGTGTGTTATACATATATCCTTATATGTTATGTGTAGAAGGCAGAGCAACTAATTAAATGCAATTTAAAGTTCAGGCTAATGGTAACTTTTTCTCAAATAGGGTAATAGGCTGGTTGGTAGAAATGTAGCAAATACAATGTGGCCTTTAGTTCAACAGAAGATGCCAGGGTCTTTTCACTATCTTTATCAATAAGATGAGTAAACAGAGACCAGCCAGACAGATTTGTACCTTTCTGATTCAAGGACAGCGACCAACCCAGAAGTTTCTGCCTGAATACTCAGGAGCTTTTCTCTGTTCTCTCATTGTTTTGTTTATAGCAAAACATTTTTTCATTATAATAGTTATCATACCAAACTATACTCTCTATGCATCCTTCTTCTGCTAGGCTGTGAGGTCCTACAGCATTATTTATTAGTAGTTACCCAGGGACTGGGAGAGTGCAAATAGAAGATAGTATATGAATACCTAGAATATGAGTGAATTCTGAAAGGATGTTGGCTCTGTCTAGTTCATGGTTTTTAACAATCAGCTAAACAGAGATAGTTGTATCTATTTTAGGGATGATACAAAAAACTAGAAATATAACGACTGTTTATAAACAAAGAACTAAAAAAATGTGGTGTTATCTTGGAACCATGGGCCAAATTCGGCAAGATGAAGAATAAAATAAGGTTCATGATAGGGCTTAAACTCCACGGCGCCCCCCCACCCCCACCCCCCTGTCCCAATGAAAAGGTGTGATTCTGGTCTTAAGGCTTCCCTAAATTCCTGCGACTACTATAAGTATGATATACTAAAAAGAAATGTGATCATAAACTGCACCAGTCAAAGCATATATATATATATATATATATATATATATATATATATAAAACACTGAACTAAATATATGAAATTAAATGTTCAGTTCTGAGCACTGTATTTAGAGGGACAAAGAGATAGAGTTGATGTTGAAGGGACTCAAAACCACATCAGATATGAGGAGATAATGTCAGATGAAACGTAGTTGGCTTTAAAAGGACATAGGGAAGAATTAAAATTGTTATGTTACTCCCCAGAGTTGTGAAAGCACACTATAATCAATTACAGTTTTAGAACACATACAACATATATACATACATCAGCAGCACATCAATGTCCAAACAATACATTATCCAATATTCAAATTAAGAAAACAATCCCATTATACTTGTTGTATCCCAAATACTTTAAATTTAACCGAAGAGATGAAAGGCTTGTACATGGAAAACTATAAAGCACTTATAAAGAAACATTAAAGAAAACATAAATAAATGGAAAGATATTTAATGTTCAAAGACTGGAAGAATTAATATTGTGAAAATGTCCATAGTGTGTAAAAGAATCCACAGATTCAGTGTCATAACTTTAAAAGAAGTCATTTCCCCCCACATAAATAGAAGCAATGATTCTTACATTCTTATAAGACCTCAAATAGCCAAAAATCTTGAGCACAAAACCCCAAACAAACCAAAAAACAGACATGGAGCATTGTATTACCTGACTTTAAAATATAAAGCAATAAAGCAATTGCAATAAAAATAGCATGGTACTAGAATAAAAACAGACACAATGACCAGTGGAATAGAATAGAAAACCCAGAAATAAATACACAATTATGGGCAATGGATTCTTTCCTTCCCTCCCTCCCTCCCTTTCCTCCCTCCCTCTCCCTCCCTCCCTCCCTCCCTCCCTCCCTTCCTTTTCTGTTTTCAGGTTCTGGGAACTGATGGGCAACTGCTTTTTGACAAAACTACCAAGAACACACATGGGGAAAGGATATATCGTCTCTTCAATTAATTGTTTTGGCCAATGGAATTCTATGCTTCCATTAGAAAGAATAACATTGCCCCATTTGTAATGAAATGGAAAGACTTGGGAAAAAAATTTAATAAGCAAAGTAAGCTAGACCCCAAGAAACATAGGCTGCATGGACTCCCTCCTTTGTAAAAACTAGAATATGTCTAGCAGAGGATCATAATAGCTCAATAGCTACGTGCATATGACCATGTAAAATTATGCTTATGAATTGAACTCCAAGAAATGGAAACAAGAGGTTTTTGTTTAGCATACTGTTTGCAGATATTTCTTTTTTCTTTCCCCCGACCTTTGGTTTATTCCCTGTGGTCACTGTTTTTGACTTCTGTACCCCTTCTATAAGATTATCTGATTTGGGGAAGGGAAGGGGAATCACAGAAACGGGAAGGGTAAACCAATGCAACAATGATACTCAGTAGACACTATGTTGGAAATATTACAACTTGGGGAGGAGGAAATGGGAGAAAATGAGGGAAGGGATAACACTGTTCAAAAAGAAATGTACTCAGTACCTTACTTATGTAACTGTAACCCTTCTATACATCACTTACAATAAAAACAAAGAGTTTGGGTAAAATTGGTTGTTTACATACAAAAAAATGAAATTGGAGCCTTATGGCATGCTCTATATGAAAATAAACTAAAAATGGATTAAAGATTTAAATATAATCTGAAACTACTAGAAGAAAATCGAGCTGAGAAAAAACTCCATGACATAGGTCTGGCAAAGATTTTTTGGATATGACTCCAAAATACAAAGCAAAAATAAACAAATGGGATTGCAGCAAACTAAAAACTGCACAGCAAAGGGAAAGATTAAGAAAACAGAGATGAAACACAGGCTGGGAGACAAAATATTTTCCAACCAAAAGGGATCCTGTTTTAACATTAAGCTACAGTCTGATTGTAGACAATACAATTAAAATAGTTTTGTAGTATACACTAACCAGGATATGATCTACGCGGTCCCTTTTCTTTCTTCCAAATTTCATCATTTTCTGCCAATCTGTTTTGTGGTTTGGCTCCTTTCTAAGACTGAACAATTTGAGTACTTCAGTTGCGATGAAGTTCTGTTGAAATAAGAAGAATGAATACACAAACTTCCTGAGACTTACATGTTTACAATGCAATAAACAGATTTATGCTAGCAATAAAATATTTACATGCACATAAAAATTTGATAAAAGATCATAGAAATTTCATGCACTTTGTATTATTTAGCAATTTGAGAGGAAAAGCATCCCAAGTGCTCAATTATTTTATTTACTTACAGAATTTTTGTTTTCATACACATTAAAAAAAAGTAAAACGCCTGGGGCTGGGAAGGTGGCTCAGTGGCAGAGTGCTTGCTTCCATGCATGAGGCCCTGGGTTCGATTCCTCAGTACCACATAAGCAGAAAAAGACAGAAGTGGGGCTGTGGCTCTAGTGGTACAGCACTAGCCTTGAACTGAAGAGCTGAGGGACAATGCCCAGGCCCAGAGTTCAAGCCCTATAACCAACCGACCAAAAATAAAAAAAGTAAAACCCATGAACAAATCTGAAAAGGAAAATCACTTTCAGAGTTCTCTATATTGAAGAATTTATATCAGCTAACCTTAAGCTGGCAAAACTACTAAAGAAAACATAAACCTCTGAACCAGAAAAATCCCATGTCATACAATCCCATTCAATTCCACGTCATGTGAGAAATGTATATTCCTTTGTCTAGAAGAATTTATTTTGAAATATCAAGACCTGAATATGTTATATTAAAAAATTAATGAAAATTTCAGAATGAGAAACATTGTAAGCTATCACCCTTAAAGGCAGTCTGATTACTGCTGTATGTTAAGTATCTAGTATTTTATTCATTACTAATACAACTTGTTTTGTTACTCTTAAAGGTACTTCCATTAAGAAAACAATGTTCGGTTGGGAATGTGGCTCAGTGGTAGAGTGCTTGCCTTGCTGCATGAAGCCCTGGGTTCGATTCCTCAGTACCACATAAACAAAAAAAGCTGGAAGTGGCGCTGTGGCTCAAGTGGTAGAGCAGTAGCCTTGAGCAAATGAAGCTCATGGACAGTGCCCAGACCCTGAATTCAAGCCCCAGGACTGGCAAAGAAAGAAAGAAGGAAGGAAGGGAGGGAGGGAGGGAGGGAGGAAGGAAGCAAGTGTTCTTGGCCAAATGTTGGTGGCTCCTCTAGATATCAGAAGGATCACTTTGAGACCAGCCTGGGGACAAAGTTCCTGAGACCTCATCTCAACCAACAATTGGATGCAGTAATGTGTGCCTGTCATCCCAGCTACATAAAAGGGTAAGAACAGGTTCCAGGCCAGCCTAGGCAAAAAAGTTTTTGAGGACACTGTCAACAGAAAACTCTGGGTATGGTGGCACACACCAGTGGTAATTGTAAGAAGATTGCAGTCCTGGAAGTCCTCAGCCAAAAGTGAGAACCTATCCCAAAACAACCAGAGCAAAAAGCGTTGGAGACTGGCTTAAGAAACAGAGGACGTGCTTAGCAAGAACAAAGCCCGGAGTTCAAGTCCCAGTATCACCAAAAGCAAAGAGACCAATAAAACAATACGAGACAACCAGTGTTCTCAGTGGAGAGACATTTATGAATCAGAATCAACTGAGAAGATTCTCAAACTACCATTGTGTTTCAGATTCTACCACTCCTTGTCTATAGAAGGCACACAACTGCATTCAAAGACTGTGGAGGGATGGAAGGAACAGAATATGCAGGTGTTTTCAAAATAAACTTTTTTTTTTGGTTCCAGTCGTGGGGCCTGAACTCTGGGCCTGGGCGCTGTCCCTCAGCTCTTCAGCTCAAGGCTAGCGCTCTACCACTTGAGCCACAGAGCCACTTCCAGCTCTTTTGTTTTTGCTTATGTGATGCTGAGGAATCGAACCCAGGGTCTCTGGCATGCAAGGCAAGCACTCTACCACTGAGCCACCTTCCCAGCCCCAAAATAAACTTTTTTAAACCACAGACTGGCAAACTTTTTTGTAGAGGATCAGATTATAAATATTTCAGGTTTTGTGGGTCAACTGGTCATTGTTGTAACTATTCTACTTTAGTAGCAGGAAAGCAACCATAGATAATACATTAATAAGTGGGTATGGCTGTGGTCTAACAAAATATTATTTATAAAAAAATATGATGAATTGGATTTGGCCAATGGGCCATAGCTTGCCAATCCCCGAGGGTAAGCACATATATGTCATAACTAACTACTGGTGTTGTCAGCATAATTTTAAAAAAAGCTTTCTATGATCAAATAACTTCTGGAAATGTCTAAAAATTTGCTTTCCAAGAATAGTCATGAGCCAGCTGCAGTAGCTCATGTATGTTATTCCAGTTACTCAGGAGACAAAGACTGGAAGGATCCAAGTTCCAGGTCAACTCAACAAGTAAGCTGGGTCTGGTGGTGAATACCTATAATACTAACTACCACACAGGTATAAACAGGAGGATTACAGCCTCTAGCTAGACCTGAGAAAAATTAGAGGCCTTATTTGGAAAATAACTAAAGTAAAAAAGATAGGATAAGGCTCAAGTGGTAGAATGCTTGCCAGCTTGTTCAGGGCCCTGGATTCAAAACCCAATAGGACTGAAGGGAGGGGGGAGAGGAAGAATGGCTCTGGGAGCAGCTAATAGGCTTAAAAGCTTGTTACAAATGAAGACTTCCGGGTCCCACCCAAGACCTACAGAGTAAGCATCTGAATTTTAACAAGATCTCCATAAAATGTATATGCAAATCGAAGTTTGAGAAAGTATTGCTTTGGAAATAAAATTTATAGCTGGGTGTGGTGGTTCATGCCTATAATTCAAGCATTCTGGAGGCAAGGCCAAAGGAGGCCAGCCTATACTACATAGTAAGAGCTGTAAATAAACCAACCAACAAACTTGCTGTGTTTAGGCAATATGAATAAGCAGACAGACTACCATGAACGTGACTTCAAGCTGTGCAATGCTTGTAGTTTCTAGGCTTTTAATCTTTTCAAAATCTTGACAAAATATTTTCATATTCGTATTTACAATCCTATATATATTTTATAAATATAATATGTATGTATATATATTTTTATGCATATATAGGTATATATTTTCAGTTTTTTGTCAGTCATGGGGCTTGAACTCAGTGCTGGGTACTGACTGTCCCTGAGTTCTTTTTTTTTTGGGGGGGGGGGTCTGGTCGTGCTGGGCCTGGTGTGCTGTCCCTCAGCTCTTCAGCTCAGGGCTAGCACTCTACCACTTGACACACAGTGCCACTTCCGGCTCTTTTTTTTTCCTGCTTATGTGGTGCTGAGGAATAGAACCCGGAGCCTCATGCATGCAAGGCAAGCGCTCTACCACTGAGCTACCTTCCCAGCCCCCCTGAGTTCTTTTTGTTCAAGGCTAGTGCTCTACCACTTTGAGCCTCAGTTCTACTTCCAGTTTTCTGGTGTTTCATGGGAGATAAAGAGTCTCACAGACTTTCTTGTTCATGCTAGATTTGAACCACCATCCTCAGATCTCTCCTCCTCAGTAGCAAGGATTACAAGTGTGAGCCACTAGCACCCAAGCCATATGTGTGTGTGTGTGTGTGTGTCTGTGTGTGTGTCTGTGTGTGTGTGTCACATTACCAATATGAAATTTCCAAAGTTAAAGATAGAAAATAACACTGTGGGGGCTGGGAAGGTGGCTCAGTGGTAGAGCACTTGCCTTGCGTGCATGAGGCCCTGGGTCCGATTCCCCAGCACCACATAAGCAAAAAGAAAAAAAGCTGGAAGTGGCTCTGAGTGCTAGCCTTGAGCTGAAGAGCTGAGGGACAGCGCCCAGGCCCAGAGTTCAGGCCCCACGACCGACAAAAACAAACAAACAAACAAAAAAACTAGAAAATAACACTGTGTCCAGAGCTAGCATGCTAAAAAGACATATGCAACATATTTCATGTGTACTAGTAGAATATTATACCTGTCTCTGAGTTAAAATATAACAAAACCTCACCTAAAACACATTAAGCTGCAATAATTTATTTTTTTGTGTGTGCCAGTCCTGGGGCTTGAAATCAAGGGTCTGGGCCCTGTCTCTGAACTTTTATGCTTAAGACTAGCATGATCTACCACAACTCCACTTCCAGCTTTTTGTTGGTTAACTGGAGATAGAAGTCTTACCCAGGCTGGCTGACTAGCTAGGATTACAAGTGTGAGCCACTAGCGTTCAGCTGCAATGAGTTATCTTGCTGAGTATTTTGTTGTTTTCCTTAAATACCATATACATGATAGCTAGACATGAGTGTGAAGTGTACATAAACTTGAGATTCAGAGTTCCCTTTCACCTCATCTCTCTATTGTTCATGTGATCAATATATCAAGTACATATTTACTGAACACCCACTATGGGACAGACTCTGAGACCATAAAGGTGAATAATACAGAAGAGTACTTGCTTTTATGACATTTTTAGGTAGGAGGAAATGAACTGGAAGTTAAAAAAATGATTGAAGATTTGCAACTTACCTTGATTTCATCAAGGTTATTTGGATTTTTCACCCGTCGGAAGTAACTAGAGTTTATTCTACATGGCTTCATCCAGATAGGTTGATTCAAATTGGGGTCCTCAGCAAATATTTCCTCAAAAATCTCTTTTGTTAAATCAAAAACCGCCTTGATAAAAAAATAATAAAATGGTTGAGAATCCAAATTTCAGAAAATGGGCAAGCAGCTTACCAGGTAAAACCATCCTTTTATGGTACATACCTGTCTATAGACTCTTTTACTAGTGCTTTCTATATCGAGACCTTTACTGGCACAGCCAAGCAGTTTTGTAGGAATACTGATGCTATGAAGGTCACGGCCTAATTCTTTCCATTTCCAAAGTTCTTCTGCTGCATTATGAACAAGAATTTCTACTTCCTCTGAAGTATGTGGGACTGCCAATAATGTCTCAGTTGGCTTTTGGGGTGCTCTTTTAGGTTCTGCCATGAGAGGTACAATTGTTTCTTCAGCTTTATTTTTCTGAATCCGGTGAGAAGAACTCAAACCAAAATCTTCCTCAAACCAATCTTGATCATCTCCTAATGTGCTCAGGAACTCCCGGCTGATCTCTAGTTCAGCAAGTCTTTTAGCAAGTTCTTCCTGCCCACTGGCACCAAACACTGGGCTTTCCTATAGAAATAAAACCATTCAAATGGGGCTATTTAGTGATCACACATTACACAACAGTTTTTTTTTTTTTTGTTGCTGTTGTTTAAGAAAAAGTATAGGTATTTATATACTTACCTATAAATAAGCAAAATTAAAACAATATGTGGGTAATAATAAGAAAAACTTATCCTGTTCTCACTATTCTGCTTACCAGAATAGGCCTATCATTCAATTTTTATAATAAAATGTTTAGTGATTAGTTTTTTTCCTTATTTTGTATCATCACTCCATTTTAGAATTGTCTCTGGGAAATGAAAGTTCTCACCTTTGGTGGTTAGCTGGCTCAAGTTACTAAAAATCATTACTTTGCTCAACTGTCTATGGGTAACCTAAATAAGTTGATGGTCTGAGAATATGTCATAGTGGATATACTTCAGTTTTATCAGAACATCACAACTGATAATCTCTTTAGGGCAGCTATGACTGGGCAGATAAATGAACAATTAAATTCACAGGCAAAAAAGAACTAGTTCGAGAATCACTGGTAACTTCCACAGAATGAATTTTTCAGTGAATCTAGAAAGGGGTCAAATCTGTGAACAGCAGACAAGGGTGTCAACCAGTCACTTAAAAGTTTCAGTTCCCATAAACTTGACAGTGTTTATGACAACCTTACAGTGGCTACTCATGACATAACAGAGAACAAGTACACTTAACACAGAAATGTAGCTACAAGGTCTATAAAGCCTAGCATACTGATCTTACCTAGTAACACAGACATACACACTACCTACCTACCTACCTACCAGGAGTCATAGAACTAAAACGTGAAGGTAAGGTAACTACTTTGTTTCTAGATGAAATACTTACAGGTCTTGTACACATATCTGGAGAGGAAATCTCTTCTTTTTCATCTTCTAATTCAGACCTTAAAAAGCAACTTGGAATACTGGATGATTGTTCCTCAAGATTTTGAGATGGCTCTTGGGGTAGTACTTTGTTTTGATCATCATCAAGGAACTCCTGATTGCTAAGCTGGATTTTCTCATTCCTAGTTTTCTTGATTTGTTGTAGTTGACTAACTGTATCCTTCACAAAGACTTTTAGTAAACAGTCTGTCAGTAAGCTGACTGTTTCTGTTTGTTGCTTTGACTTTTTTTCCTCACTCAGTGATGACCTCAGTTGGGATTCTAGTTGTTCTTTTTCTCTTGTTAAAAGATCCAGAAGTGGGGTAGAAGGCTTTTCCAAAACTTCAGAATACAGATTTTCTTCTTCTTTTTCTGTAAGTTGCTGTGGTTTTATCAATTCTTCAGAAAAGGTATTGTCTAAAGTATCATCTTCTGCAGCAATGGAGACCTTTTCTATGGCACTAGAAACAAGGTCTTTGTTTTCTTTTAAAGAAATCAGTGAATCTGCTGAGGATTGTTTGTGAACATGGGCTTCAATGATTCCAGAAATGTCCCGTACATTGTCTGTTTCTATTTTAAGGCTTCTATCTCTGTCCACTGAGGCTTCTCCATCATACATACCAGGTAGAGATTTCTCACAAAAATACTCAACTGCATCTTTTTCACTATCTTTTAGAATTTCAACATATTTTTGTTCTTCATTATAAAAGTGATATTGTTCTTCTGAATAAGAGTCTTCATCTTCATTTATTTCTATATACTCATCAAAATTTTCAGCAATTCGAGATATTTTTTGAGGAGGAGCAAAAATACCATGCTTCTCTTTACACACAAAATACACAATGCCATCATATGTTCCATTGTTATTTCCTTCAGGTTTATCTAACTCCACTCCAGCCCAAAATCCTTTAGCAAAACTAGTTTCACCTTTGAATCGAAGAGTTCCTGGCTGAACATTGCCAATCAATACCCTATCACCAATGTGGAAATCAAGTAACTCATCTGCAACATGAACTGCAGCCAAGGAAAGAGATGCAGTAACTCCCTGTTCATGTTCCACGTCACTGCGCTCCTTATTTTTCATCAGCTCAGTAGGAGACTTGAGTTCCAACAGCCTTTCAGAATGGACATTGCTGTGAATGGAAAGGCTCTTCTCACTTAAGCACTCACTGATTTCATCATCACTACCAAACCCAGTGGCTCTGCTTCTAGAGCTCCTACTTGACCCTGACTTATCTCTGCAAGTCTGAGAGTCCTTCCGAAGAGATAACAAAGCTGACACTGCAGGATCATCTTTATACAATTCAGCTGAAATTTCTTTCTTGAAAGAAGACACTTCAAAATCTTCAGAGTCTGACAAGGCTTTAGGAACAAAGAGATGTTCTGACAAGGATGAGTTCCTTTCCTTTTCATTCTTTTGTTCAGGAGTGTCTTTTCCTGAATGGTTGTCTTGACTATGATCCTCATCTTTATCTGACTGTCTATCTTTCAACATTTCTTCTTTCCTTTGAAGACTGTCAAAGGCTAATCTAACCAACTCATTTGGACCATTTACAGAATCTGAGAGATCTTTTCTGGAAAGAATTTCAGAAGAGTCTCCAGGTTTCATATCAAGCTTTAGTAGGACATCAGATTTCCCAGAATGTTTAGAATAGGTATCTTCAATTTCACTCTTCTCCAATTTTGTATATTCTTCTTGAATTTCTGATTTTTGAGCAGATTCTTCAACTGTAGCATCTGACATACCAAGAATTCTACTAGGGACACTTAATTCCTTGTGGAAAGGATGAGAAGGTGCATTTTCTAGAGAATCTCCAGATTCTGCTCGGGGACTCCTTGATGATGTATGAACTGAATATGAAGTCTGCAAATGTTCCTCTGTTAAATTGTCCAACTCAATCATTCTCTTTGCGTAGGCAGACAAAGACTTTTCTGATACTGATCTGTCAGAACCTGACAATGAAACATCAAAGAAATAAAAAAATGACCCTATCAAAATTATTTAATCACAATCTTTCAATTCTAGGAGTCAAATTTAAATGAAGGCGAAACCACAATGAAGATAAATATGACTATTTGGATACCATGTATTAAGTTTTTTCTTTTAAGAAAGTATACTGTACTGATAAAAACAGAACATTAAAAAATTTAACCTTTGGAATAATTTCTTAAGTGTTGTCTTTATTTGTAAAGCGAATAAAAATGGAGTTAAGTTTATGGTCCCATTTTTTGTATGATCATTCATAAGTCATGGAAAAACAGAATTACATGAAGAATTTTTAAATATATTCTTCAAACAGAAACTCAAGAGAGAGGGACCAAAATTTTTCTACTTATTTTTTTAAATGAGTAAATTTTTCTGGAGATTTCAGCTAATTCTGGAGTGTAAGAAGAAATAACTCATTAACTATTTCTGCAAGTCTAACACTTTAAAAGCTGAGATTGCAAATTAGGAAGCATAATATAATGTACTGCTAAATCAAGAATTAAGTTTTGAATTATAATCTCTAAGTAGGCTTTTGTGTTTCAGTTTTATTTGCTCATTGAATTACATCTTTTAATAATTCCTATTTCTGAATTTAATAAAAAGTACACATCATCTTGTATCATATAATCAGATACAAAACCTGGCTAAGGAAGACTTCAGAGATACACTAAGCCATTTAGTTTTTATCATAAATTTAGAACAATAAAGACATTAAAAAAAAAAGGAACTGGGTTGAGTACTACAACTTGAGAGGCTGAGATGGGAAAACCATCTGAATCCAGGGGTCTGAGACCAGACTGGGCAAAGACCCCATCAAAGAAATAAAGCAAAACAAACATGACTTGAAATGTTAACTAAGAGATTTATTTTTCCAATTAAGTTTTAGAAGTAAAATTCTGTAGGACTCATCCAAATCTTCAAACTATGTAAATACAACTTAATTTTTTCCTAATTACATACCAACATGTTCAGCAATAGATTCTAAGGATCCTCTAGAGCGTTCTGATTCAGTTAGGGACTTCCAGTTTTTTACTGTTTCAGATCTGAAGTGGAAAAATTGGGCAGAAATAAATACATTGTTGATACAACAATAAATGGCAACAAAAAAGACATTTTTAGATAACTACATCTTCCACACAGAAGGTATTTAAACTGTTAGCAGTTTCATCAGGTCTATTTCCAGCCTTCATCATTTTCTGTTTAGGTAATCTTTCTTCTTCTTCCTCTTCTTTTTTTTAAATTTTGGTCGGTGGTGGGGCTTGAACTCTAGGCCTGGGCGCTGTCCCTCAGCTCTTCAGCTCAAGGATAGCACTCTACTACTTGAGCCACAGCACCACTTGCAGCTTTTTCTGCTTATGTGGTACTGAAGAATCGAACCCAGGGCCTCATGTATGGAAGGCAAGCATTATTATCACTGAGCTACTTTCCCAGCCCCTTCCTCTTCTTTTTAAAAAAAAATTTTTTTTTGATGTCAGTTCTGCGGCTTCAATCAAAGCCTTGGCACTGTCCCTAGCTTTTTTTGTTCAAGGCTAGTGCTCTGCCACTTGAGCCACAGTTCCACTTTCAACTTTTGGTGGTTAACTGGAGATTTAATTGGCTATCTATTAATCTATATTCACAGCCATCATAACTATAACTGCTTTTCCTCCTGTCTACAGTGAATAAAAGGTGCGCCTGTCACTTGTTCATAGTAATTGCTCATGAATGGTCTCATGAATGGTACGCACACGTGCTTGGTCCTGGGGCTTGAATTCAGGGCCTAGATATTGTCCCTGGGCTTCTTTAGCTCAAGGCTAGTACTCTACCTCTTGAGCCACGGCGCTACTTCTAGCTTTTTGGTGCTTAATTGGTTGGTTAAAGCCTCATAGATTTTCTTGCTCCAGCTGGCTTCAAACCTCAATCCTCAGGTCTTAACCTCCTGGGTAGGTAGGATCCATAGGCATGAGCCACCAGCACCTGGTATCTTTTCTATAATCTTAAGCCTTCTGTGTAGATTGATTGTTCATTGCTTAGCTTAACCTTCAAAAACACAAACCTCAAAAATTTCCTTCTCCCTTTATCCATCTATTCATCCTTCCTTCCTTCCTTCCCACACATATGCACACACACATCTACCCAGTATTTCTAACCCTTGAACTTTCCTGGACAACTCTATTCAAAGATGACATACGTGCTTTTGGTTTAATTGGTTCTTGACCTAATCATCTACCCAGAAGAAATCTGTAAGTCATTCCAGATTTCTCTGCCTTCCAATCTAGCACTTTATAACTAGATAAGACTATTTTTTAAAATATTCCTAAAATGTACCTTCTATTTTCTACTTTTATTGCTGCAGCGTATTTGAAACCTGACTTATACCACTTTTCTTTTGGCTTCTCAGCTTACTCTTTTTAATCTTTCTTCCATATTATGGTGAGAAACACATAAATACAACCCTGTCACTCTTGGGTTAAAATATTTTCCTCTCCCCCTTTTCTCTTTCCCGCCTTCCCTCCCTTTCTTCTTTCCCTTCCTTTCTTCTTCTTCTCTCTCTCTTTTTTTTTTGTGCTAAGTATTCAGCCCAGGGCTTCATGAAAGCTAAGCACTCATTCCTGTCACTGAGCACTATCCCCAGCCTCTGTTTAAAATTTTTCAATAGCTAAAACAAAAAACAAAAAAATACAAGCTGAGTGCTGGCTGTAATCCTATCTACTCAGGAAGCTCAGATATGAGATGAGGATTGAGGTTCAAAGCCAGCCCAGACAATAAAGTCCATGAGCCTCTTATCTTCTATCAACCACAAGGAAACCAGAAGTGGCGCTGTGGCTCAAGTGGAAGAGTGCTAGCCTTGAGCTGAAGAGCTCAGGGACAGCGCCCAGGCCCAGAGTTCAAGTCCCACAACCAACACCACATACACACACACACACACACACACACACACACACAAACCCAACCATAAAACCATTGAATTGTACACTATGCAGAAGTTAAAACAAAAACAGTGTATACTCTATGATGAAAAAGTTTATAGGTAACAAAAATACCAACAAAATGTAAGAAAAACAAGAAGGAAATACAACTAATTGTTGATATTTGGTATTTTGGGCAAAAAATTGCTTTCCTAGATATATTATTTACATTTTTGGTTGGTTGTGGGTCTTGAACTCTGGGCCTGGACACTGTCCCTCAGCTTCCTCAAGGCAAGCGCCACTTCCAGTTTTCTGGTAGTTAACTGGAGATAAGAGGCTCACAGACTTTCTTGCCCCAGCTGGCTTTGAGCTGCAATCCTCAGATCTCAGCCTCCTAAGTAGCTAGGATTGAGTACAGGCACCTGACCCTGAGGAATTTTTGCTCAAAGTTAGTGTCCTATCACTTTGAGCCACAGCATCACTTCCCATTTTTGAGTAGTTTATTAGAGATGAGTATCTCATGGACTTTCCTGCCCTAGCTGGCTTCAAACCATGATTCTCAGATCTCAGCCTCCTGAGTACCTAGGATTAAAGGCATGAACCACTGGCACCTGGCTTCGTAGATATTTTAATAACAAAAATAATAGTAGTTAATATATAACACTTACTGTATTCTATGTTAGCAATATTCTAAGTTAACACTTTTAAGAAGTACATTAACTCTTTATGAAGTATATTAATTATTAATGCCTTTTTAATAAGGATTTATATCTTATTATTTTCTTAATGAATCCATTACCTAAGAGTATTTTTTTTATTTGTTTACTGGTGGCAACTGTAATTGAACTGTAATAGAACTGTAATTTACTGTTTTTTCTATTTTATAAATAAAAAGTTTTCAATGTATTATGAATATAAATAAGTTATGCTAAACATATGCATGCAAACAGATGTTTGGGTACCCCACATTTATCAAGTTTATGTTCCAGAAGTGGTATTGTAGGGCCAAAAGTTAGATTTTTTTTTTTTTCCTTTTTTCCGGTCCTGGGGCTTGACCTTAAGGCTTGGGCACTGTCCTTGGTTTGGTTGTGCTCAAGGCTAGCACTCTACCACTTGAGCCATAGCACCACTTCTGGCTTTTTCTGAGTGGTTTATTAGAGTCTCACAAACTGTTCTGCCTGGGCTGGTTTCAAACTGCAATCCTCAGATCTCAGCCTCCTGAGTAGCTAGGATTACAGGTTCAGCCAGAAGCACCCAGCCCTGATTTTTTTTTTTTTGGGGTCCGGTCATGGGGCCTGAACTCTGAACTTGGGCGCTGTCCCTCAGCTCTTCAGCTCAAGGCTAGCGCTCTACCACTTGAGCCACAGCGCCACTTCTGGCTTTTTTCTTTTTGTTTATGTGGTGCTGAGGAATTGAACCCAGGGCCTCAGGCATGCAAGGCAAGCCCTCTACCACTGAGCCACCTTCCCAGCCCCCTGGCCCTGATTTTTTTTTTTTTGGGTCCGGTCCTGGGGCCTCAACTCTGGGCCTGGGCGCTGTCCCTCAGCTCTTCAGCTCAAGGCTAGCGCTCTACCACTTGAGCCACAGCACCACTT